TTTACATCACAGAAATATACAAATTCATTTCATGGGGGATTTTAGGGGACGCTCACGGTGAAATTGCTCGCTCTTATTTTTCACATAGAATAGGAAAGCCACCATTTTGGGTTCTCTACGATTGATGTTAGCTATCATAAGTTGGTCATGAGCAACTTAGACTTTGAATCTTAACTTTACGATTGACTTAGGTAAGATTGGTTAGTGGAACGGTATGCCGATCGTAACGTCACGCGAAGATTGGGATTTTAGGGGTTTACGATTGGCGTAGGGCTAAGATCGGTTAGTGGAACGGCACCCTGGGTCATGGTGTGTTGTTGATGTATAAATGGTACTGTATCATGGTGTGTTGTTGATGTATAAATGGTACTGTATCATGGTGTGTTGTTGATGTATAAATGGTATGTATATAAATGGTCATGGTGTGTTGTTGATGTATAAATGGTACTGTGTCATGGTGTGTTGTTGATGTATGAAGGGTACTGTGTCATGGTGTGTTGTTGATGTATAAATGGTACTGTGTCATGGTGTGTTGTTGATGTATGAAGGGTACTGTGTCATGGTGTGTTGTTGATGTATAAAGGGGTATGGTACTGTATCATGGTGTGTTGTTGATGTATAAATGGTACTGTATCATGGTGTGTTGTTGATGTATATGAAGGGTACTGTGTCATGGGTGTGTTGTTGATGTATGATGGGTACTGTATCATGGTGTTGTTGTTGATGTATGAAGGGTACTGTATCATGGTGTGTTGTTGTTGATGTATCATGGTGTGTTGTTGATGGTACTGTATCATGGTGTGTTGTTGATGTATAAAATGGGTACTGTGTCATGGTGTGTTGTTGATGTATGAAGGGTACTGTGTCATGGTGTGTTGTTGATGTATAAATGGTACTGTATCATGGTGTGTTGTTGATGTATAAATGGTACTGTGTCATGTGTGTTGTTGATGTATAAATGGTACTGTGTCATGGTGTGTTGTTGATGTATGATGGGTACTGTGTCATGGTGTGTTGTTGATGTATGAAGGGTACTGTATCATGGTGTGTTGTTGATGTATGAAGGGTACTGTGTCATGGTGTGTTGTTGATGTATGAAGGGTACTGTATCATGGTGTGTTGTTGATGTATGAATGGTACTGTATCATGGTGTGTTGTTGATGTATGAATGGGTACTGTGTCATGGTGTGTTGTTGATGTATGAAGGGTACTGTATCATGGTGTGTTGTTGATGTATAAATGGTACTGTATCATGGTGTGTTGTTGATGTATGTACTGTATCATGGTGTGTTGTTGATGTATAAATGGTACTGTGTCATGGTGTGTTGTTGATGTATGATGGGTACTGTGTCATGGTGTGTTGTTGATGTATAAATGGTACTGTGTCATGGTGTGTTGTTGATGTATGATGGGTACTCGTGTCATGGTGTGTTGTTGATGTATAAATGGGTACATGTATCACTGGTGTGTTGTTGATGTATAATTCACTCACAACTTGCGTAAATCACAGCAATAGGTGTTTATACATACAAAAGTACTTCGAAAGCATGGAAACAAATATTCAGTCGAACAAGATCAAAACATCGTCTGCTTTACGAATAAAAATTCCACAAAAACCTATGTTTACGTTGATTTTATGTTATGTCAGAATAGATCCAGCAATAGACTGCTACATAATTTCCGTGTTAAATTTATTATCAGCTTTCGTCAACGATATCGCCACTGATCTTGATCCGGTAACGGAGGATGCATTAACATCGAACGCCGAAGAAATTGTAATGCCTTCCGTCCACATAAATAAACAGTTGGGTTATCAATTCAAACAAAATGATATTTTGAAATTTGCACTGTTTCAAATTTAGCGGTAGTAAAACACAATTACAGAATCTGCAAACCGTTCTGTTTAGCCCAACATATTTTTTTTCTAAAAAGTATAATATCGTTGAAAAAGTTATTTAGCTTAGTCATGATCCCTCTTATCCATTAAACTGCTTGATCTAAAGTAGTCTATTAAAGTATAATTAATTACCTTACCGTGTTTATGCCAGAGGTACACCTCGTGTCCTGATCCATCCTTTCGGAAATCACCACCAAATCTGGCTCTTTTGTGTCAACAGACTCCCCGAACATGCCAGCGAATCCGATTCAATTTGAATTCACTACACTTTGAAGCCACTAGGGTCACTGTGCAAAACACTTTCCAAAATGTAGAAAATAATATCCGTAGAATCGAATTTGAGCACAAAGTACACACATGAGTGTGTAAGAGTCACTACAGCCAGCCGTCGCACGCAGACGTAGAGGTGCGTGAAATCGTCAAGTTGACAGGGCGCAAAATTCAACAGTATCTAAATTCGGTACAACACGGACTTCTCGTTACAGCAAAAGCGCCCCCTACTCTTAAATTTTGTACCAGTACCAGTAATTAGATATCAAAGACTATTTCAGTCATACAATCAGGTTAACCTTGCGCAAACTGTCAGAGGCTCTCCTGTCGCATCTTTCCAAATCTGCACGTAAATGTAAACAAGGACTTCCGAGAAAAAGGTCAAGGCCATGAGGTTGCTGCCACTCATTCTGGTGGGGAAAGGGTCTACGGTGGAATGTTCAAAAGTGAACCAAGCTTTTAAACTTATTTGATATATGTTTTCCAACTTATCAGTTAATGATTGGTGATTGATGCATTGAAAAAACAAAACGTTCGATTTCGGTTATTACCGAATCTGGAGTTAGTTAGTCATTGACGGTTTGCCACCAAACACCCCGCTTCCGGGTGATGCCACTTGAGATTGGAATGCGAGGCCGCTTCTAACGTATTGACTCGTAACCAAAGAAAAGAGCTCCACCTGAAATTGTTCATAAAATTGTTCATGGAGATAAACCTATTGTGTTGGAAGATCAGAGGTATAGTAACAGAGTCTATAATAGCTTTAATTGTTCATTTAAAACCTCACGCTACGCGTTCGGTTTTAAATGAAATTTAGAGCTATTATAATTCCTAACTGTATCATGGTGTGTTGTTGATCATGGTGTTGTTCATGTTGATGTATGGGTACTGTGTCATGGTGTGTTGTTGATGTATGAAGGGTACTGTATAATGGTGTGTTGTTGATGTATGAAGGGTACTGTGTCATGGTGTGTTGTTGATGTATGAAGGGTACTGTATCATGGTGTGTTGTTGATGTATGAAGGGTACTGTGATGTCTTGATGTGTTGTTGATGTATGAAGGTTGTACTGTGGGTCTGTGTCATGGTGTGTTGTTGATGTATGAAGGGTGTATCATGGTGTGTTGATGTATGTGTCATGGTGTGTTGTTGATGTATGAAGGGTACTGTATCATGGTGTGTTGTTGATGTATGAAGGGTACTGTGTCATGGTGTGTTGTTGATGTATGAAGGGTACTGTGTCATGGTGTGTTGTTGATGTATGATGGGTACTGTGTCATGGTGTGTTGTTGATGTATGATGGGTACTGTATCATGGTGTGTTGTTGTTGATGTCATGATATGGGTACTGTGTCATGGTGTGTTGTTGATGTATGAAGGGTACTGTATCATGTGTTGTGTTGTTGATGTATGTTGATGTATGAAGGGTACTGTGTCATGGTGTGTTGTTGATGTACAAAGGGTACTGAATCAGTTTTTTGATTCCATTGATCCCAGGCAATGTGTAAATAAAGCCCCATAAACAACAACAACACTTTTTGAATGTGTAGAATATATTTCCACAAGGTTGAATCATCTTGAGCATCACAGATCATGGTGGTCTTAGCACAACAACAGTTTATAATATGTCATGGCACGATAGTAACTGCAGCTGTTGTGCTCAGATCCTGTACATACAAGCTGAAGATATATTCATGAAACAGACATTTTGATTTGTTCCTCTGAATGTACACAGTCACTCTTTGTGTCTCCATAATATTACAATAAAACCCTGGATCTACTCACTACAATACCTTTGAGTCTGGAGAAGGTCTGCTGGGTTAGTGAGTGAATGAGTGAGTTTGGTTTTATGCCGTTTTTAGCAATATTCCAGAAATGGACACCAGAAATGGGCTGCACACATTGTATCCATATGGGGAATCGAACCCGGGTCTTTGGCGTGATGTGTGAACTCTTTAACCACTAGGCTACCCTTCTGCCCCTGCTGGGTTAGAGTTGGATGTTGTGATGTCACTTCCAGAACAAACCTATTGTAGCAAAACTGTCCAGGGTATACATGATGACTGAATGGAGATTTATTACTCTCAAGGATGCTCCTCAATATGAACAGATTAGAAAAATAATGACGGCATCTATGTCCTTCACATCACAACCACTACACATCCCAATACAATCCCATACACGGGTGAAAAATTCGGACCCTGTGACAGTCTGGATCAGGTAATAAGCATGTGTTTCCTGAGCACACAAACAACACACTGGCCATCTGTTACAGATGAGTCGATAAGGTGTTTACGTCAATACGTTTTATGACTTCCAACAGGAATTTTTAAATTTCCAATCAACCTGTCAAAACTCATTTTGAACTGAACCTTGTAAATACAAAAAGTATAGCACTCTTTCAGCATGTACTTTATCAAGGTGTGGAAGCCAATTCTGTGGCAGCTAGATCTCCAGTATGCATCATTTTCATGAACATTCACCTGATTCGAATAAATGACAGGGTAGATATTAAGGCTTGCTAAAAAATATGCTAATTGGAAATATCATCAGTGGGAAGAAAAATTATCAATATGAAAAATGTGTCATTTAAGATATCTTACTCAAACTATTGCGATGAAATAAAGTTTAAATTTACACGCACTATTATTTTTCTTCATTCACGGGTCACTTCTAAATTATGTTCAGAACACTGTTATTGTTAGTCATAACAATATGTTGTTGATTTTTACGGACATTTGGTACAATGTTTGCTCAAAATTGCTTCTCGAATAATTATCAAATAATTAATCAATATTTAGTTAACAATTACCAATCTCTTTGATCAGTATCAACAGCAAGCCCTGGCACATATGGCTATTAATAGGTGGTCTGAATGGTGGCCCTGGCACATATGACTATTAATAGGTGGTCTGAATGGTGGCCCTGGCACATATGACTATTAATAGGTGGTCTGAATGGTGGCCCTGGCACATATGACTATTAATAGGTGGTCTGAATGGTGGCCCTGGCACATATGACTATTAATAGGTGGTCTGAATGGTGGCCCTGGCACATATGACTATTAATAGGTGGTCTGAATGGTGGCCCTGGCACATATGACTATTAATAGGTGGTCTGAATGGTGGCCCTGGCACATATGACTATTAATAGGTGGTCTGAATGGTGGCCCTGGCACATATGACTATTAATAGGTGGTCTGAATGGTGGCCCTGGCCAATAGGTGGTCTGAATGGTGGCCCTGGCACATATGACTATTAATAGGTGGTCTGAATGGTGGCCCTGGCACATATGACTATTAATAGGTGGTCTGAATGGTGGCCACATATGACTATTAATAGGTAGTCTGAATGGTGGCCCTGGCACATATGACTATTAATAGGTGGTCTGAATGGTGGCCCTGGAAGATATGGCTATTAATAGGTGGTCTGAATGGTCTTCATGGTTTATCAACAAGCCCCATTCCCCAGTGCCTTCAATCAGATCACAGATATAGGAATTATGTCCATATAAATACACCCTTAACAATGATGATGATGATTTGGAAATTTTACGTGCGCTTTCCAGCATGATGCATATTTTGCACACAGCCCCATTAACCATGTTATGAGTTCAATAGAAATAGAAGAGTTAAATAGAATCAAAGTATGAAATCATGTGACCAACAGTAAAATGAATTTGCCTACTGTCATATTAACAACTAAGAAAACATCCAAGTTTATTAGATCCTATATGACCGATATCTGAATGAGGTTCAATAATTTGATCCATCTACACATGACTATTCTTCATGAGCATGGCTGGTAACATTTGCTGAACATATTCTTTTCGTTCATGATTCTTAAAGGCAAACATACAAATGAATTAGGGAATCTATACCCACAAATGAATGAATAAAATAATTCAAGTAGGTTACTACCAACAGGTATTCAAAAGAAATATATCTATTTATATAAACTAATGTATGAGAATACATTTCTAAATGAAAAAAGTTAATGATGCATTACACTTGCATCACTTCAGATTTTCCATCCAAGTAAGGCTGACATGACATGATTTGACTGTAATACTGATCAAAGCAAGGATAATGAGTGAGTGAGTTTAGTTTATGTCGCTTTTAGCAATATTCCAGCAATATCATGGCAGGGGGACACCTGAAATGGGCTTTACACATTGTACCCATGTGGGGAATCAAATCCGGGTCTTCGGTTTGACAAGCGAATACTTTAACCACTAGGCTACCCCATCACCCTTAACGCAAGGATAAACCCAACTCACTAACTCTTATCCTGACAAGTATCAAAGTCATAATGTTATATCTGATAGCATCAGCAGCAATTAACAAAATTTCACCCAAGCTGGATTTCTCACTTAATCAATCCTTCATGCCCAAACATCTCTAGTCATGATTGTTAGACAAGGCCAACTAGTAATCACATATTACGATTAAGCCTTAAAAAAATGCCTTGCAATTCAATAATGTTTACTCTTTCAAGAGATATATTTGGACATTAACCTCAAATTAACTGGACATTTATTTTGTTCTTCAGGCTCTGCCATTTTCGTACTTTCTCACAAAATGAACAATATAAGGGAAAACAGACTGTAGAGGAAACAAGATGGCTGCCAGGTGGCCATATTGAACGATTTAAATGCCATTTATACATCAACCGTATCTAAAACCTGGAGCATGTACATAAAACTATGCAAATTTGTAATTTGTAAACAGACAACAGAAAAGATACAAAGACCAAGAATACTGAAACAAGTCACCAGTGCACCAAAAAAGCAATTGTTTGTTGTTTAGTATTATTGCAATACTAAGCAATATTCCAGTCATATGACTGCAGCCTGTAAATAACCAGCTTTGGACCAGACAATCCAGTGACTGATGCCATGAGCAATGATCTACCCAGTTGGAATATGATGACACCCAGCATGGCAAACTAACCATGATAGTAGCATTACTGATATGATATGAGGAGAATCTCAGATGAATGTCTTCTGATCTATCAGACATGGTATGGTAACCAATATCTTCACCATTTTTTGTGAAACACTTAATTGCAGTGATATCACTTAATCTCACTCATTATCTTGTTTGGGTGAGTGAGTCAGTTGAGTTTTTACGCTGCTTTTTAGCAAGATTCCAGCAATATCACGGCAGGGAACAACAGAAATCGGCTTCACATATTGCACCTATGGGGGTTATCGAACCCGGGTCTTCAAGTGAACGCTTTAACCACAAGGCTATCCCACCACCTCTATCTCATTTGGGAGCCAGTTTTGGACGATAAACAATGATAAATCATAACAGTATAACTGATGTCAATAGTACCAAGGTACAGAAGCTCACCAGAGAAAATGAGGGCAGATTGTGGTTTTATGAAAAGAAATATAATGCTGTCAGAAATGGATTCAAACTGAAAACTCTATCTTGCTGCTGCAGGGAGCTAAAAGAAGTCAGATAAGTGAAATGAGTTCCTTGTGAAAATGATTTTTCGGGGTTTCTTTTTCGTATAATGCTGCAATCTTCCTGGACCAGACAATCCAGTGACAGACATCATGAGCAATGAAGTCAGTAAGCCTCATCTAGTTCTGTTAGTCATAACTTACAGTTTGCTGAAACTGACGATATTCCAAAAGTGAAAAGCCACATGTCAGATTCTTTTCAAATTGACAGAATTTCTTGTTACCCTTTGAAATATACTCAGTGTTTGAAATACCTGAATGCTCCACCACCCAGGACAGGTTATTTGCAACACGGACTGCCAGATTGTGAAATTCACCTGCCCGATGGTCGGGTTAAAATTTAGACATGTACTAGTATATGATGATATTTTGTGGGCAGGTAAGTTTTGGTTAGGGCTGGCAAGTTTTACATCTAACCAACCCTGTGGTCTGGCTGAAATTTTTGGGAGTTTCATACCCTGATATAATATTACATGACTTATCAGTATTGATGAAAACATAACAAAACTTGCTTCTTGATAATGTTAGCTATAAATGTACAAGATCAATAAAAACATGTTATTGGACCCTCTACAATCTTGAAACTGTCTTACGTTTCAACATGAGATGGAGAATACCCTTTTTACCAACAATCCTTACACATGTTTGACTGCACAGAACTGCATTGTAATCAATCCCATCCAAACCAGGTTTTGGTTTCTGCTATTGCTGTACATCCTATCACAGGTCACGTCAGAACAACCCTTGCTTGTAAGGCAACTTACGGGATCGGGTGGTCAAGTTCACTGACTTGGTTGACACATGTCATCATATCCCAGTTGTGTAGATTGACGAATATGCCGTTGATCACTGGGTTGTCTGGTCCAGAATTGATTATTTACAGACCGACGCCATATTGCTGAAATATTGCTAAGGGCGGCGTAAAACTAAACTCACTCACTCACTCACTCCTATTACAGGTGACTTCAGAACAACTTTTCACAAACACATTCTGGAATGTCTAATGAATGGCCTAGACTGTATGGCAGTACTTTTATGGGCTGTGAAAGAATCTTCTCATTTTCAAATATTTATCCCCGGCATCAGCCATACAGTTCACAACTGTTGTTTGGAATGTTAATATTTTGAGGTTGCATGATTAGAAAATTTGGAATTTAACTTTTGCAATCTTTGAAAGGACTCTCTGATTGGTCAGATAACAAGTGAGTGAGTGAGTTTTATTTTACCCCGCCTCAGCAATATTCCAGCTATATGGCGGCAGTCTGTAAATATTTGAGTCTGGACCAGACAATCCAATGATCAACACTGACATGACAAGTTGTCTGACTTGACATGTTGTAGGATGTGATGGCACAACATGCAGTCACAATAATACTTAACAGCATTTCTTTCCAAATATCATATTACTCAAAACTGTTTATTGAGCAGGCCAGATGAACATGGACAGTTCATGAATCTATAATCAATTTTTGATTTTCTTGAGCATAACTTCTGCAGAATATATCACCAGCACCTCATGTAATCCAGTACACACATTTCGGAATTGTCCTGTGAATTTTATCAGTGACATTTCTACAAGTCCACTGCTATATTCACTCTTTCACTTTTCAGAATCGGTTCCAATGTAGCAAGTTGTCACTTGTCCTGTAAGCAATCTACTAGGGGAGACAACTCAGAAGCTCCAACACAGTCATTCTCTCAACTCCTCTTTTCCTTGTCCAGTACTGTCAGACAGATACCAAAACGTTCACATGATTGCCTGAGTGAACATTCGTTGTCAACGTGAACAGATTTTTCACAACCTCACAACATATTTTTCCTATTTCCCCATCCACGTCTATGATCTGAAATTAGAAAATCACACATATAAATTCTCAAATTATGATGAACCATACTGACAAACCTGATTACGCATTTTGATTTTTTTTCATTGTTTGGCAAAATGGCCACAAAAACTAAATTAACGTGTTTGGGGTATTAAGGCACTTTCTAAGATGCCTAGCAGTTAGAACAATAACAAAAAATAATACATTATTAGACAATAAAGGTACAGTTTTTTGATGACGTAACAATTGAATGACGTTATCCCGTCACTGCGCAATTCTAGTGTGCCCCCTCGTAATCGAACCATTTTACTTTACGTCAAAATGTAATCGACGTCACGATGCATGTCAGTTGTCATCGCCTTGTATGGCCTCCTATAGTAAACTACTCCGTTGCATCCCGTTTCTTGGTTTGCAGTTGCTTAACGCAGCTAACATCACTGGTGGAAACATTACGTTTATGTTTTACGACGGTTAAAATGTGTCAATTCGACTCACAAGTTTTCAGCGACACGGTAACGTTCGCAATGTTTACATTCCCACAATGCAATCGTGGAATGTCACTTGACTACTCAGCTTCATCTGGATGTACTGATCTAAACTTCCGTTGGTAGTAGAAATGCGTCGTTCATATTGCCCAATATGGTTTACGTTCATGACAGATGTAATTAAAATAATTCAGAGAAGATATTTAATCCAAACGTAAACAATTGTTCATGACAGATTGTTCAGGTTAGAAATTGAATCTGATTCGATGTGTTCCAAAATTGACTCAAGCACAAGAACCGTATGTGGGCTAAAAATCGCATAGTTCTATATTGTAATATAGGTATTCATATTCATATACATATTGCAATATACTGGGAGCTAAATTGTTTGACAGTACTAAGCTGAGCAAGATTTATTAAAGGATTTGCTTGTACAATCGATGCCAATCACTGTCCACAATATAAATATATCTGCTAATTGTGACACCCACGTTTTACACAAATTTAAATACAGCTCTTTTCCTAAAAATGTTATCCAAAATTAAACCCATCTTCAAGTCATGATTATGTCAAACAGTATTGGAGAAATGTTCTTTAATACTTTGAACCCAATGATGCTGACAGGCCAAAAACTATAGTTACCGTGAACCTTTTATTTGTGGGGATAGCAGAGGCCAAATCATCTGCGGCAGTGTGCGAAATGGTTTCCAAATTTTGTGGCACATATACCCTGGAGATGTTCCGAGGATGGCCATAATCTTGCATGATTTAAAAGTGTATTATAACTTAACAAGTCGGAGAGAGTGATATATTTACAAAATGATCCAAAGAAAATTCACTAGCCTGTCGACCCAGTGACTGAGCAGATTTACTGGCCCGACTGGATCTTTACCAGGCACGGGCTAACGGGCTAGTGGCTATTTGGCACAGTGGCTGTTTAATTTAGCTGTAGAATTGTATCCCTTAGGTGGCTGATCTCTATGATTTAATGAATCCCAGCTCACTTTGATTATGTTTGTAGAATTGTCCAGGTAATTTTTCAACATAGGTAAGAGTACAGCTGAATGGAATTTGATCTCTCGTGTGTTTCGCTTCATATGATTAAACAATCAAACAATGGGTTTGAAGCCCAGCTCACTTTGATTATGTTTGATTTTAATCCCGACGATACGGCCCTTATCTCGAAGCCCTAACGACCTTCCGTGTAGTACCAACTACCATTTTTATTAAACATGTTTATGATTTGGCATCAAACGAATGAAAGTGAGTTTGAAAGTAAATCTTTCACTAGCTTTATAAGAATGGTATTTCACAGAAGCGAGTTTAGTATTCTATTTATCACACTCCAACATAAACTGATAGCAACTGCCTACACTGTGATAACTCTCAGCTTTCTGCAAGTCAAGCAAGGTCAGATAACATTGTGACAGAGGTATTGGCATTGTGATGTCATATCTGTTAACCATTATGACATCATACGTCTAGTGGTATTACACTTGTGTAAAATTGCCGTAAAAATATTACAATGCAGTATCTTCCACGGGAGAGTAATAAAGAGCAGTATAAACCTTTTTCACTCACTGTAGTGAGACCCTCTCTGTCCAAGGGAAACAAATCTGCAACCCAATGTCATCTACATCTCTCACAGTTATGCGTAGTACAGTTAAACATTGGTCAGGACCTAAAATCTATTTTAGACAACTGGTTAGAACTGTCTGAGTTCCGAAAATAACTACCATAGCATGCAATGACAGTGTTATTTAATAGTCAGCTTGCCCTCAGACCATAGGGATCACCATTAACCTGTCTTGACACAACTCACCATCTTTCCAGTCATCGTGCTCTCTCTTCCTCTGTAGCTCTTCAGGGTCATCTGTCTCCACCTTCCGTTCTTCTTCTGCCATGTACTTCTCTTCCTCTACAGAAGCAGCATCAGGATCAGCTGCCCGGTCCTGAAGACTCATGCTGCAATCAAAGTCACCTTGTTTTCACTATTTGTCACCTTGTTGTCACCATTTGTCACCTTGTCACTATTTGTCACCTTGTCGTCACCATTTGTCACCTTGTTGTCACCATTTGTCACCTTGTTGTCACCATTTGTCACCTTGTCACTATTTGTTATCTTGTTGTCACCATTTGTCACCTTCCTGTCACAATTTGTCACCTTTTTGCCTGGTCACTATTTGTCACCTTGTAGTCACTATTTGTCACCTTGTAGTCACTATTTGTCACCTTACTGTCACTATTTTCACCTTGTTGTCACTATGTGTCACCTTGTCACTATTTGTCACCTTGTCACTATTTGTCACCTTGTCACTATTTGTCATCTTGTTCCTATTTGTCACCTTGTAACTATTTGTCACCTTGTCACTATTTGTCATTAGTTTCTTGCTTTTTATTTGGTTCAACTCAATACTAAAGTCTGTTTGGCTCAAAAGCGGACCGATGAATTGCAATCTAACTCGAAAACTAATAAACAGAAAATACTCAATGAAACGCTGATCATAATCAAAACATCATACCCACTCTGTGAGGTTTTTGCAGAATTTTTGTCCTAAAAATAAAAAAGTTGTTTAACAATCTATCATTAAAATATTGACACAGCTCACTATTTGTTACGAGGGAGGAGTGCAGAGAAAGGGACAGCCAGGTGTTCGAGAACGGATGGAGACGGCACAGCACAGGTTAATGAATAAATAACTTTGTCTGTGAACGTGCTTCTCGAACACCTGGCTGTCCCTGTCTCTGCACTCCTCCCTCGTAACAAACAGTGAACTGTGTCAACATTTATGTCATCACTATTGTGAGCATGGATCTATCCTTCATCAACAGAGTCGGTTGACTAGTGATGGGAATTCATTGTAAAAATCTAATGGTTGCATTATTCCAACCGATCACTCATTGAAATTATTTAATCACTGTGCTGCTATTCATTGTTAAACAATTCAGTAAAACTAGACCACACTGGCATCATGACGTGAGTTTAGTTTTACGCTGCTTTTAGCAATATCACGATGGGAGACACCAGAAATAGGCTTCACACATTGTACACATGTGGGGGGAATATTGCTAAAAGCAGCATGAAACTAAACTCACTCACTCACTCACTGAATTCATTCCGATTTTCACTTTAGCAGTCACTGATTGGTCTCATGAAATTAATCATTAGATTAATGTTAAGCAGAAGCAACACTAACAGATAATTTTAATGGGATGTCAGTAGTTCTCACAGACAAGTCTGGGAGTATTACTTAAACGTCCAAACTTACTTCCCCATCCCAGATGTTGGAGGATGGAATGTGCCATCAGCGAGCTTCTGCTCGTAGAACTCTTCAATGGTGTATGTAGGCACTGCTGCATAGCCGGCACCAAACACCTGTTTCTGCACCATGTCTTTGGTCAATATGAATGGACGGACAGGCTGGAAAATAAAGTTTTTTGGTGTATTTCTTAAAATATATAAAAAGGAGGGTGGGCTCAACAGTTAAATGTAACAACATGTGCCAAGGCTTTTGAAGCTTTTCCTCTTGACGGAAAGACATTTAACACAGAATGCAGTAGTTATGTCCCTTAGATTGAGGTGTGTCAATGGCATTTGTTTCCTTGTATGGTATGGTCCTAAAGTCTACACATGCCTCCAGTCAAGGGCGTACATGTACAATATTACACAAACAGCACTCTTACTTTAACTTGTTTCTTCTGAGGATGTTCATTCTTGTGTTCATTTGGATGTTTCTTCTGTTCTGCCTTCATCCTTGCCATGTGTTCTAATATAGGAATTTCCGCTGTAAAAGAGCATGTTAGAAACGTGAACAGTGTTTAAACTCAAAGATTAAGTGAGTTAATCCCCACTCTCAAAAGTTTTCGAGAATTATTAAGGCTTGTGATCCTTATAAGCAAGGAAAATCAAAATGAAAACCTATGGATATGGTTTTGACTGACCTTGAAACATAATAGTGTTGAACCTGGATTCCATCTCACAATCTTAAATTGCTAACATTCCCAAAGGGACACAACTCTGCACTGCTGTGGATGATAGGGCCAACCCATTGGCCAATAAGGATTTGGGTTTGCTTTGGTTTGTTATTTTGCGCCGCACTCAGCAATATTCCAGCTATATAGTAGCAGTCTACAAGTAATGGACCTGACAATCCGGTGATCAACAGTATGGGCATCAATTTACACAACTGTGATATGATGACATGTTTCAACCAAGTCAGCAAGCCTTACCACCCGATCCTGTTAGTCACCTCCTACGACAAGCATGGGGTGCTGAAGATCAATTCTAACCTGGATCTTCTTGGGACTTGTAAGAGAAATTGAGAGAAGTTTTGAAACTACAGTCTATAGATATACAGTCAGGCCGTGTTAATCCGAACACTTCTGTTTTTCATCAAAAACGTTCGGATAGTGCAACGTATGGACTACTGAAACGAACCATTATGTACACCACTACAGTAGAGTTACTTCCCTTTGACACACCGAGACAAGAACATGAGAAAGAACACGTTTTGATGTTGTGTTTGCACAATTGAGACCTATTAATTGATTAAATTCACAAACTAATGACATGTTCAACTCAGAAGTGTCACCTAACTTATCAATTACCATTGAAGTTTACCGAAGAAGATCAGCGCTAATCAATGGTGCCTTGAGGTAAGGGGATTATCTGAACCTTTTTGATGTACCGCCGGATTAATGAAGCAAAACCAAGTGTAATTAACTAATCTGTTACCGCTAACTAACGTCCGGATCTGGAGAGTGAAGCACCAGATTAATGAATCAACAGTTAATGAGTTTACATAGTAAACAGGATTGGTTACAGCTATAGTCCGTTTGGCTCAAAAGCGGACCGATGAATTGCAATCTAACTCGAAAACTAATAAACAGAAAATACTCAATGAAACGCTGATCATAATCAAAACATCATACCTACTCTTTGAGGTTTTTGCAGAATTTTTGTTCTAAAAATAATAAAGTTGTTTAACAAACTATCATTAAAATATTGACACAGTTAACTATTTGTTACGAGGGAGGAGTGCAGAGAAAGGGACAGCCAGGTGTTCGATAACGGATGGAGACGGCACAGCACAGGTTAATGAATAAATAACTTTGTCTGTGAACGTGCTTCTCGAACACCTGGCTGTCCCTTTCTCTGCACTCCTCCCTCCTAACAAACAGTGAACTGTGTCAATATTTTAATGATAGTTTGTTAAACAACTTTACTATTTTTGGACCAAAATTCTGCAAAAACCTCACAGAGTGGGTATGATGTTTTGATTATGATCAGTGTTTCATTGAGTATGTTATGTTTATTAGTTTTCGAGCTAGATTGCAATTCATTGGTCCGCTTTTGAGCCAAACGGACTATAGTTACCGTTCGGATAATGCGGGAATCAGATCATCGGGGGACTAACGCGGCCGGACTGTACATTTAAACAGTAAGCCTGTAGCATTAGGATGACATCATGTGAAGGGATGAGTGTTAGTGTATCAATGATCATGGGCTGTGGAGCAGGTAGTAAGACTTCGACTTACTGTTAATACTGTCTATCTCTTCCACACTGCGAGACACCCACTGCTTCAACATAGTAGTGTAGTATTCTCTCTGCAAACATGCAACATGAGGTAGTTTTCATAGACGTGTACACAATGCAGAATGGACACACATGAGTACACAATTCAGAATGGATATATAGGTGTACACAATGCAAAATGTATATACACATGTACACTAGTCAGAATGGTTATTTATGTGTATCGTAAGGCAAATTGTTCATTTTGATACACATACACACAAATATTTTTAAACAATGAGTAGACATGTCAAAAAATACTCTTCTGAAATGCTGTTTCAGATTGCTTTTAATTTCTCTTGTTCTCAAGTTGCCCCTGGATGGCCATGTAACATAACCTCACAACAGAGATAAAATGAATAGGATGTAGCTATCTTTGCCTTTACAACTGCAGTAGAGTTCATACACAGGGATGGCAGCATTTCACTAATATATAAAGATGTGTAAAGATAATGGAATTGGGTAACTATGCCCAAATTTGTAACACTACTGTTGCTATTTCTGAATTTATCATGCAGTCATCTCCAAATCAGATGGGTTATGGTGAAGCATAATGCATATTTTATTCCATTTATCAAGAGTGAATGAGTATAGTTTTATGCCACCTTTGCATCATTCCAACAATATCAGAGCAGGGGACCCAAGAAATAGGTCTTGTACATTATAACCATCAGGGAAATGTAAGTAGACCCTATATTATGATGATAAAATGCTTGAAATTCTAGGCTACTCCACTTCCCCAGCTAATCTTGAGCTCTGATTACTGTTATTCTATCCTTTCTCACCTTGACTTCTTCTTCTACAGACTCCTTCTCCATTAACTCATGCAGCTCTTTCATTCTCTTCTCCATCTCCTTCTTCTTCCGGAACTGCTCGATCTTTGACTGCCGTGTGCTCGCCATCACCCTCAGGTCCATGCCTCTGATTAAATAAGTGTTCTGGTATTATTAACAGTTTTACTGCTTTCAAACAAACTTATTCATCTATCTTAAATGTGGTTTATATCCTGATATGTACTAGATGCCAGCTGAAAGTGTAGTAATATATTCTAATAGTAATATATTCGATATAAAGTGTAGTAAACTATTCTACTCATTTTATAACAAGAGATACAGATGTTTATAGGGCAGTTTTTTTCTTTATTCCAGATAAAGACCTGTTACATTTAGAGGCCTCCAGTGCCCAGGTAAACCAATGGACCAGAAGACCCTGTATAGGGCAAGTGATACATGTCACATTACATTTAATCTGTGCCCAGGATATTGTTTAGCATAAGTCACATTACATTAACTGGATATTTGTAAAGAATTACAAAAACACACATACATATATATCCACTAAAATTAAAATAGTGTTTGCAGTTTTCAACAATCTACTTCTGATTCCTAACATTTTTGTGCAGCTTATATTCTACATCATCTTTTGTCTAAAGCTTGAAAACAAGCATCATTAGACAAGTTTAAAAAAAGCTGTGCCAAACCTCTACACTGTTATCACAGCAATTATCAAACTGTAACAATGGCAACTTTGGAAGAACAAGAAGAAGTTGTGAATGTTGTTGAAATCCTGAATCCTGTGATGATTCAGGTTAACATTGGTCTTCAGCACCCATTGTTTGTCATTACAGATGGTCCAGTGGTCAGTTAATGCATGCCATCATAACCTACTTGTATAGATCAATGCGCATGTCTTGTTTGAGTTGTATTTTACAAGTTGAGACGTACCATATAGAACAATTTTTTATGGATAACAACTTCTTTTTTTCGTGAGTACGACGTTTCGATACAGATTCTTGTACCGTTGTCAAGCAGGAGTGATACATGAAGTGGAGGAGATGCATATATACTGAATATAACAATGAGACAACATAATTGACAAAGAAAACAACATAATTGCCATAATTCGCAAGCTCACCGAAGCCATTCACATCAAACGCCATAAGCCCACCATCAACCGGGACCAAGGATACTTCATTCCATCTGCTTATGATGCACTACTCCACCAAGCCCAATCTATTGACTATATATCTGATCTATTGTATAAACATCTCCTTCATTGTATCTACTCCATTATTTGTACATCTCTGGCTTCCATTCACTACCCTTTGTGTACTCACTGAGGGGCGGCGGTGGGGTAGCCTAATGGTTAAAGCGTTGGCTCGTCACACCGAAGACCAGGGTTCAAATCCCCACATGGGCACAATGTGTGAAGCCCATTTCTGGTGTCCCCCGCCGTGATGTTGCTGGAATATTGCTAAAAGCGGCGTAAAACCAAACTCAGTCAGTCAGTCAGTGTACTCACTGGCTTCATCATCTTACTGCTTAGCCAATTATGGCAATTGTGTTGTTTTCTTTGTCAATTATGTTGTCTCATTGTTATATTCAGTATACTAGTATATACATCTCCGCCACTTAATGTATCATTCCTGCTTGACAACGGTACAAGAATCTGTATCGAAATGAAATGTTGCACTCACGAAATAAAGAAGTTGTTATCCATAAAAATTTGTTCTTTAATGCTCATGTCAATCACTGATCCAGACTGGATTAGTTACAGACCACAATCAAATAACTGTAATACTGCTTTGCAGCATCAAACAACAAACAAATAAAAAACACATAAAACCCTACAAATAAGGAAACAATTGCTCAATTCAGAAATATTGTGAGCACCATCAGGAGATCTCTGTCACCTTGGTGCTGCAAGACCCATTGCTGTGGCAGCATCTTCCCCATCTTCATCGACAGACCCCACATCAATGTCAGTCACTTCATAGTTCTTACAAAGTTTTAAGTAGTCAGTGAAGAACAGCTGTAAAAAAGAAAAATACTCACACAATTAAGCCAAGACTTTACAACATTGATTACCTGGACTCTAAATGAAAACAACAATTACAATCTTTTAATGTCTTATTGCAAGACATTGCTGGGAACTGAACCACCAGCATTCTGCTCTCAGGGCAGACACTCCATCAACTACACCATGGAGGCCTATAAAGAGACCTGACCCCTGAACCCATGGAGACAATACTTTAATTAATCAATGAATTACATGAAGTATGACAAAACAAAGCTTGAAACCGTACCCGAGCCTTCTTGACGAGTGGAAGTCTTTCTGCTCTAGTTGTCTGATATGTGAAGAAACCCAATAGGGCTGGCAACAGCATGTATCTGAAAAAGGAACATTCCAGTGACCATGTGCCGTAAGTTTATCATGTTTATGATTCTAGGTGTACCAGCTGAAAATATCAAAATCTGTCATTTATTAAATACTAGGAAATGGACATGCATGCAGTATACCGAACATCTTCATCTATCAGTGGTGGTGCACTACTCCTTCTTTAGTGACTGTACTTCAGTTTTTCATGCACAAGATTTGGCGCCCAACTAAAACAACAGGGGACTGCCCCCTAATATAATGCTTTCATCAATAAATGTAATATCTAATTACCAAAACTTAACATTTAAATAACAACATACAACATGAAATGTAGCTCTCATGGATATCACTGATGAGATAACAGAAATGAGCTTCATACATGTATTTTGAATATGCTCAGAAAAACAAGAAGAAAATGCAATAGAATAATACTAAGAACTTATCAATGACAAAATAATTGCAACAACTTACTTCAGTTCAGAAGATGCTACTTCATCAAGGCTTTCATTGTCGCTGAAGAGGGACAGTTCATTTGTCATATGCACAGCTTTCTCACATTTCTGCACACCAAAATATATTTTATCCTGCAAGATAAATTATCAGACCGTATTATGTGTTTTATAACAATTGCTTGATTGATCTTACCATGGTAGTCGGAACAAATATTGATATTTCTTAGACCTTAGATCTTTGAGAACCTACAGTTCGAGGTAATTAAAGGATCGAAGAGACACGGTATAATTTTTAATAGAGTGCCACAGTCGGCACTTTTAGCCAATACAGCACGATAGCCAGTCAGTCATAGATTCAGTTTTCTAACGAAAAAGGCAATATAAAATTATTGACTGACATTTCGTTCACAATGGCCCAAATCATGATCTTGTACATCTATACAATACATCTCTGTACAACATGCGCTTCTTATCACCTGGACTTTGTCGTCTGCAAGCGGTTCGTCACAAGTGTCAACAAAGATGAAGATTTTCCAGATTTCCTCAAAGAGATCTGGTAGTTTAGAGCCTTCTTGTGGAGCTTCGGCCATCTTTCTATTTTCAGATTCTTACGTTTATGATAATCGGTTACTCATACACATACTTCCCTTGGCTGCCATTTTGAAAACACTATCGCGAGACGAGACTTCGATTGATTATAATATGTTTCCTAGAACGAATTACGATCGTGTGTCCTTCGCAAATAGAAATAAAAATCCACAAAACGACGAAGAAGATAATAATTTAACATGTTTCTGAAATGGGACGGTTTGTCAATATAATCGAACAACTATTATTGTTTAAAAGTAAAAATATTCTATACATTTCGTTTCATCCACTATTCCTAACAAAATCAGCGGAAGTCGGGCACTAGCAGCATGTCGTCTGTAAACATTAATCTGTACAGGCAGCTTTTACGTGAATTGCACAGGATTTATGCGAAAGTAATGACAGGAATTGATTTAAGAAATATGTTTAGTCTCTCTCTTTAATGGATATTTGTGGATTGACAAAAATGTCTCCAATGCAAGTTTATTTTGTAGCACAAACTCGACATTGCAACTTTGGCGAGTAAGCACGTCATTGGAGGGTAAGAGTTCCGCCCGTAACCCCCGCTTGAAATGTATTCTATTTATTAGGATTATTTCGAGGGTTTAGGGTTAGGGATCCTTAGGTTTAGGGTTAGGGAACCCCAGCTGCGCTAATTATAATCTGGAAAAGTGCGCCCGGTAAAGTGCAGTACTCCCGGTTTGGGGTTAGATTTTAGGGTAAGGGTTTAGGTTTAGGTACAGGCTGTTTATAAAAAAAACATAGGCGTATATTCTTAGGCATATAATGATAAAATTATACGGGGGTTACGGGCGCAATTGTCCACAAAAGGCCTCCATGAATGTTTCATGCTCTTCCATTGTTTTGTTTTCTTCCAAGTTTTGTGACTCAGAAGTTATTCTTTACAAAAGATAGTCATTATCTCTCCATTTTCAATGTTTAAGACATGCTAGAAAACTATTCCATGTGAATCAAAGGCCAGAAATACGGATATCACCTTAATATTATATTGTCAGAAAAGTTTCAACAAAGTCATCCTTAGAGCCTTTTCATTATTGGGTATTTTGTAAATTGATTCATGCATATCTGGCATATAGTGAGCCAAATACATAATTTCTTCATGGCAGACTGCCACATTACTATTTGTAGGCAGTGTTACATGAGGTGAGGTGAAATTGGGTTTAACATCGTGCTTGAGAATATTTCGCTCATATGCCGACATGCATGCGTGTATGTGTATGTGCGGCTGCTTGTACTAACCCAGACTTAAGCTGGTTTTATAGTGCTAGCCCACTGAGATACCATGCCGCAGTGAAGCATGAATACCCCACTCAGACACATTATACTGACTCCGAGCCGACCAGTCCTTGTTGTACCTATTAATGCCGAGAGCCAGGCAGGGACCAACAAGTACCATATTTTAATGTCTTTTGGTATGATGCAGTCAGGGATCGAACCCGCGTCCTTCCGCTCTCCGGGCGGACACTCTAACCACTACACCACGGAGGCGGTCTAGTGTTACATGAAGTTTGGAAGGAGATGTTGCAAATGCATTTAAACTGATGTTGTGGGTATTGACAATGTGTAGGTCGGAATAATGAATCTTGGTCAAAAGTAAAAATAAACTGAAAAATGTGTGATTCCAGTTAGCACATACCGAGTGTCATTTGTTTTTTTATAAAAAGATGCAACTTCATGCTGTGCCCATATCATCATGTGGTAATGGACAATGTCTAAAATTATATCAGAATTCTGTGAGCATGTTTAAGAGATTTCAGACACATATTTCAGCTTAAACCCAAAGGCAGTAAATCTAAGACATGGCGGTACATGAAGGTCACAGGCATGTTCATTATACACTTTAATGTTTTAGAATAACAGATATATTTACTAAGTCAAAGATGACCTCCCATACATTTGTGGGATTTAGGTAATCTTTTACCTTTTACCATCAGTGCTTCACTTGTACTCTCACTGCTTGCTGCGATATTTGTAAATACTTTTTTAAATTTCAGGATGCCCCAGTTCTTTCCTACATGAAGGATCAGTTTCGCAGACATCAGGTGACGAGTGAGAAGATATGTCGTGGTCAGAATGAGATGCAGCATATGGGGGCCACCTATCTCTCCTTGTTGCACAACAGGCGTAAACACGAGGCAAGTGTTGACAACTAAAAAGTTTTATTAAAGTGATTAGTAGGCTTCTGACTTTGCACTAAAAATCTACAGTCTTCTATTTCAACTGCTGGTCCAAAGCCTGAATCTGGTTAATTTTTTCTGGTACAGTACGTACCAGTAACTACATATAGTTCAAATATTCATTTACGAATCAGCTTAAAATTATACCATTAGACAGTTTCAGGCAAGTGAACACATAGTTTTGAACCCAGACAGGGGTTATTATCTTGATAAATATATAAAATATTAGTGTATCATAGCCCTTTTCAATGTATGATTTGTCAATATCATGTGGTGTTTATTAAACTCCATCTAAAGTTTGATAGGATTACAGTTATCAAGGTCAAACACTGGAAGATTTTGTTTTGTGAAAACTGCCAAATTTATCAATTCAATTGTCATACAATTAAGTTCTACATGCTTATATACTGCATGTACTGGCATTAATTTTGTGCTTTCAGTTTCAGAGGTTTTCAGTAGCTTTTAGTCTTTCCTGTAACCCTTTTATTGACCAGACCGCCTCTGTGGTGTAGTGGTAAGAGTGTCAGCCCGGAGAGCGGAAGGTCGCGGGTTCGATCCCCGACCGCGTCATACCAAAAGACATTAAAATATGGTAATTGTTGGCCCCTGCCTGGCGTTCGGCATTAATGGGTACAACAAGGACTGGTCGGCTCGGAGTCAGTATAATGTGTCTGAGTGGGGTATTCATGCTTTACTTCGGCATGGTATCTCAGTTGGCTAGCACTATAAAACTAGCTGAAGTCTGGGCTAGTACAAGCAGCCGCACATACACATACACACGCATGCACGTCGGCATATGAGTGAAATATTCTCAAGTACGACGTTAAACCCAATTTCACCTCACCTATTATTGACCAAGGTTACTATGGTATAGACAAATGAAATGTGTCTTACCTGAGTTTGTTTTCATTAGAGTTGGTGCTACATATGTTGTTCTATGTCTTTGAGGAGATTCCAAATGAGAATAGACCGTCCTTGCTCGATGTTTGTTGAACAACCAACAAAAACACTCATCAGAGGGGTACACAAAGTTCATGGTTTAGACTACCAGTTGTCCGACTTCCATTTTTTGGCTGAGTTGGTTAGGTAGCTGACTTTGTGTCATGTGCCTGCCTCTGGGGGTGTGGGTTCGAATCCCAGATGTGACTCAGCCAAACAAAAGTACTAGAATCTGTACTTTACTGAGAAAGTGTAATCCCAAATATAACATGTTTAACAAAAATAGACATATTGCAATTTTTGACCTGTCTTATTGTGTTTGATTTGACCTAACTGTGAGTGACTGAACTGTGGCTCAGGCTATCAGCTCTCTTATTCGTCAGTACAGCCAAAACATATTTCCCTAATTCTACTAGGCAAGAATGGAAACATCTCTTTTGTTGTAAGTTATCTCCCTTGCCTAAGGAGGATGGTTAAACTCTGGTGGTATCTCAGTGAGTGGGAACTATATAACCGACATAACCCCATACCAGCACCAGATGATCGCTTTATAAGAGCAGTAATATTCAATATAGCGCATCAATAAATCCCATTTCGCTTCAGCTGATATTATTATGTATTTTTATTTTCAGGAACTCAGCGCACAGTACAAAGGTCACGGTGAGCGCGACCTAGAGTCAAGTGCTCATTTGGTTGGACTCCGCCTGCCAAAACAATTTCAACCAAGTGGTGAAGAACCGATGAAATGATGGCAGCGGCAAAATTTGTGATAATGTTTTGATGTGTTCAGTGCAGAGATTGTATGGGTTAGAAATCATGCCAGAATTCACCATTTAGTCTAGAAATATGACTGAGACAATTTTGTATGTTACTATTTGGAGTTTTCCAACTCTTCGAAGATTATGCAAGACGAGAAATGGATTGTAAATGCTGCTAGATCCTGTATATAGCCTTAATACATTGTTTTTATTTAAAGATGAGAGTCATGTTATTTTTACATATTGCAATGATATTTTAGAACAGTATTATGTACATCAGAAAAGCAGAATCATCTTTCTACAATACTGTGAGGATACAGAGGAAGAAGGAAGGGGAGACAACATGAATTGGAAGCTCAGACTGAGTGATTTGGTTAGTTTGTTGTTGAACACTCCACTCCTCAATATTCCAGCTATATGGTGGCGGTCTATAAATAATAGTCTGGACCAGACAATCCATTGATTAACATATCATGAGCATCTATCTACACAATTGGAATACGATGACAACCAAGTCAGTGAGTTGCCACTCAAAGAAGGCAAGTCAGTGAGCCTGACCACTCAACCCTGTTAGTAGCCTCTTACGACAAGCATGGGTTATAGAAGACCAATTCTAACCCGGAACTTCACATGTCTCAGACAAGGATTACATGTGATTGTCATTTGTTGCTCATATTATCAATCACTAGTTGTGTTGCCGCGATTAAATACATGTCTATGTCATCTGTAAGTGACTGGTGTTTATCAATACCCAATTGTAGTTTATACTTGGCCTTTGAAAGACTACCTCCATGATATTTTGACAAAGTCTGGAGAGGTTTTAAGTTGAGGGGTCCGATAGTTCTAATTTGTATCATTCCTCAGTTGACAGCAGAAATAGACACTACTGAGATAGTGTTTACAAATGTAAGATTTAACCCAGTTATGGTCCTGGATGTGTTCATTTGTTTGAATCAACTCAGACAGTATCTTGACTGAAATGAAGACGATCGCTTATTCAAGGGAGATAACTCTTGTAGGTTTAGTTACCATGATCATGATTACATTAAGTTGGGCTTCAAAACAAGGAATTATCAAAGAGTAAATTTTACACAAAATAACAAAACTCATCACCAGTATTCCTGTATTACCTGCACAGAAAAGTTATGTGGCTTACAAGATGTTGAGAAAGTTGTAAACAGAAAGTTTTAGGGCAGTTTTCCAATGGAGCATTGTTTGTACTTAATGGAGAGTTGAACCCATGGAGCTGTCCAGTGAAACTCAAGTTCCTTACGTTCTTGACAAGTATTGAATATAGCTGTAATTATTATCAGATAGATATTTATGTTCCCTTCCTTGGTATTAATGATTCTTTGATTACTTACACATATTCTGATTGTGGTAGCTCAAATTCCCACAGGCAAGCAGACACTGTGGAATGGTTATCCAATATATATATTCAGGAGCTTTTTCAGTTGGCACATCAAATCAGAAAACAGAATTTTGAGGATGTACAATTTAAGGAATGCCATTACATAAAATTGGCATTTGGGTAGGGTGGCATCACCAGCATGATAATAAACCCCACTAGCCATGTGTGATGGATATTGGACAATTTGTGGAAATATTGGTAAAGTTTGACAGACATATCATATGGCCGCTCTTAATGGAACAAGGACAATAAAAAGCCTTGTTTTACTTCCTCCTTGGTCGGGTGGATAGAGTGCCTGCCGTGAGTGTGGAAGGTCAGTGGTTCAATTCCCAACTGTGACATACCAAAATGTGTCGAGGGATGGTACTTGTTGTTACCCTGCCTTGTGTTCAGCGTTAAGGAGATAAAACAGGCACTGGTCGAGTCGGATCCATTATTTTTCTGACTACAGTTTCACCTGCACCCAAGTCCATCAGTAATCATATTTATTATATACTAGTTAAAAGTTTTTGATGTATTTCGATCTAGTGAGTGAGTCTGTTGGATATAGCCCTGAGCAATATTCCAGTTATATGACAGCTTGGCAGCTTGATGTGGAATGAAACTCTGATGTGATGCAAGTCTTGTGTTGCGGTGCAAGACGTTTACCACGTTTGATGAGATGCACAATCATGAGTAGGGTGATAATAAACCTTGAAACATAATCGGGACAAACCGGGATTCGAACCCACAATGACAGGTTTCATTCGTTCCCTTAGGATACAACACTGCTCAGCGAATTGAGGACCTTGAGACGGCTGCCCCCCCAAGTCATAGATTCAACCAAACCATGGTTCTTGGTCTGTTAGCAGCAAGGAGTTGTTCTAACTGTGAATAGACGATAAGTACACCCGCGCACTCACACGCACGCACGCACGCACGCACGCACGCACACACACACTCCCTCTCTCTAGGCCTCACAATACAGGGCAGAATTGGTAAAGATAGAGATGTTTATTTGCCTCTCAAATCATTTGAAGATGACACCGTGGTGTCAGGAATGATCGATTTCAATCTGTTAACCAGGGAGCTTAGTTGCAGTGAGATATTCAGACAGTTTTGTCAATATTATCAAGGTTTCGGAACAAAAGCTGCAACAAATATTGATTCGTTCGAAGCACATTCAGGTTCAAATGGGTCAATAGAGTCCTCAGATGGCCAATATAAAGAAGGTCAAAATGTAAAATGTGTTTCACGCTAAATATAACTTCCTCAGACATTGAGTTGGTGTTAGTCCCCCGACAACACTATTTCTGAGCCACTAAAATTGGCCAGTATGATCAAGGTCAGGCTCTGAAATTCAGAGGAGTGTGCGATTACCAAAGACCTTTATAATGTCTCTTGTTTATGTTTTGAAATCCACAGGGCAACACTAATGTTGTGGTTTGCTCTGTGAATTTATTTTTAAAACAAAGAGTATAACTAGCCTATAAATGTTGTATTTGTCACACTAAAATACGGTTATTTCTTAAGGACAATGGGTACAATGTGTGAAGCCCATTTCTGGTGTCCCGCCGTGATATTGCTGGAATATTGCTAAAAGTGGCGTAAAACTAAACTCACTTACTCATTTCTTTGTTAGGACAAGCACAGATTTGTGACGGGGAAGAGAGTGGAGTCGATAAATCAAAATAATTCATCGGAGAAATAAAATGCAGGTTTTCTTTAGGCTAAAATGGGAAGGTGATATACAAGTACGCGAGTGAGTTTACTTTACGCCGCTTTTAGCAATATTTCAGCAGTATCACAGCGGGGAAAAAAGAAATCGGCTTCACACATTGTCACAAGGCTGCCCCACCGCCCTGTATTCTAGCTGGAGCAATCGACTGTAATTATGTGAAATGTGCACAACTCATAATGCAAAGTTCAACGAAGATGAATACCATGTTCTCCTGTGTTGTTCCAAGTATCACCATCTACTGAAAACATATATCAACCAATATTTCTTTGAAAATCCAACTTTGCATGAATTCGCTCAGTTCATGCAATCCACTGATATAAAAACACTCCAAGCTACAGCTATGTTCCTGTACAAAGTGTTCAACGCACGTCGTGTAACCTCATGGACTTTAAAACTAAATTTATGCATGCCATGTACATTATCAATCGATTGCAACACTGTATTTTAGGCCCGAGGCCTTATACTGTAATAAATCTGCCTATCTGTCTAATACGTGTACGTCAGATAAAATAAGGTAAAAATGGCATACCAAAAACTATAAAATGAAATAATATATGTTTATAAGGCTAAAATGGGCAGATGACCTACAAGTACCTGACCAGTAAGCATCAAAATGTGCACCACTGATTGCCCTTCTTCACCTCCATGAACCGATACGGCGGCACGATACCAATAATACCTGTGGTCTACCTGGTAAATCAGATCGAGCACCTAATTCAGGTCAACAAACTTACCCATCATGGAATATTCACGAACAAACACAGTTTAATCAATATGCTAGACCATGATTTGAACAGGAGTCACGCGTGACCATCCCAACGTCTGAATTGTTCACGTATACTAGACAGCAAACTTTCCACGATCACCTACAACATGATTTTTCCCATTGAAACAGGTCGTAATGGGAATATTCTATGAGGACAAAGGCTGCACTGAACAGATTTGATTTGTATCCTTGCATTAAAGGAGATGACCCGTCCGTCTCCCAGACAATAGAGAATAACTTAACGTTGGAGGAGTCCTACTCAAGTCTGGAATGATTTGGCAAGTCTAGATTGCCCCAGAACTTGGAATGAAGGGGCGGTGGGGTAGCCTAGTAGTTCACCCGTCACGCCAAAGACTCGGGTTCGATTTCCAACATGGGTACAACCTGTGCAGTCTAAGTAAACTTAGGCTCAGTATTATTCGTTACACTGCTATACAAAACCTTATAGAAGGTCGCGTCAGCTAACCTTTTGGACTGACCAATCAGAACACAGCTTACCAAATCGCGAACGTTAACATTCGCACATACCGTTTGAACCTTTGCCTCCAAAACCCGAACGATTCCGAATGCTATTTTCCGCACGATCGCTTCCGAGTGATACACGCAATGAGTAAACAGTCGCTGAAAATAGCGTTTTTGTCAATATTCAAGCATGCCATCTTGCGAAAATATAAGCAAATAATAACCATGTCATTAGAAACCCATAAGTGTATATACTGCAGGTCAAATATACATTGTATGTGTTTTATGCTGATATTCGTTTGTTGATAGATCAGTGTGTGTGTGTGTGTGTGTGTGTGTGTGTGTGTGTGTGTGTGTGTGTGTGTGTGTGTGTGTGTGTGTGTGTGTGTGTGTGTGTGTGTTGTAGTGTGTATATTAAAATAACATCATATAATGTATATGTTTTTTGTGTGTGACTAAAAATGTATAATCTATAAACATAAATGTCATTGTGTGAGGTAATCCCTGCAGTCAATATCCACCCACACTGGTCACTGTGATTAATTACGCGTGTGTGTATGTGTATGTGTTCCATTACTTTCTATTATCACTTGTGTTTGTCCTCATTTTCATTGATAGATGGATTCAGTATCTATATATTGAATGCCATTGGAAATGCTCAAGGATATTCGACCGAAGTCGTACCAAGGCCTGCATAACACAAGGCTATCAATCAATTGTTAAATGTGGAGGATGGAAAAAAAGGAAATAATTTAAAATTCAATTCGAGTATATATCTGTCTGAAATACGGAGTATCAGATCAGTGCAGAACACGTGGCTTGTACACTGACGGGTGTTACACTACTTGCTGAGCACGT